GCTCGTGCTTAAGGATAAAATGAATAGAAGGGCTGGTGCTTCATTCTCACGCCCCCTCCACACCCCTTTAGGGCCTTTCGAGTCAGGAGGATGAAGGGAGCATCATTCCTTTGGGAGGCCCAGAGTGTAAAAGGCAGAATACTAGTAAGTCACTTGGAACTGACTTCTCAACAGTTCTTCTCCAGCTTTTTTGTCTGTTTATTTTAACATTATCCCCCCTGCCCCCCAGTCCTCCACTAAAAAGCCTTATTGACTCCAAAATTCCTCAACAACTCCTGAAAAAGTTGTCAAGGCTGAAGATAAATTTTTAGGAGAATTCTCATCATCTCACTACAAATTTCTGGTCAGTGGATTCAATCAGATCAAAACCTTACTCTGATGTCAGTTTTGTGAGGTATCCAACCACATTACATCTCGACACTCCTTTGCTACTATTTCCTTTTCTTAACGTTTCCCTCCCGTTTCCCCGCCTAGCATCATTACAGTTCCATGCTCCCGTGTTCATCAGCCCTTCATGGCTGCAATGACTCTTGCTACAGCCAAGAGTTGTAATCCTCCTGCCAAGCTGGCCTCTAGCTGAGCCAGGAATGAACTTAAGTGGGTGTCCAAAAGGCTTACCTGGCACTTTCCTAACCAATCAAATCAGTGCTAACCTGAGAGCATAAAGTCCTGAAAAGATCTGTAATCCAAAAATATATAAACTCCTCCCCCCAAATTAACTTTGCCTGATATGAAAAAGAAACAACAGGCCCAAAATGGAGTCAGAGTTGCTAAGCCGCACTAATACTTCATACCTAACCCAACTGCAGTTTCGGCCGTCCCAGGAATGAAATTCTAAACCGATCCGTCTGGAATGTCCAGGTCAGCATCAATGAAGTATCTGCCTCAAAAGACCTCGCCCAAAATAACCCACTGCCGGACCCTCCTTCTCCCTGCTCACAGCGCCTGGGGCCCCTTCCATTTACCAGGTGGGATGCTGCCACCACATGCATTGCTAATAAAGCCAATGAGATAGTTAACGTTCCTGGGCTGAGTTTATATTTAACAATATCAAAATACAAACTTATATGAAGTCAAAAGGCCAACTCCAAACTGCAAACAAATATGCCAACAAATGTTCAATGAATATTCCAAGGGGTTACTGTTTTTAATCAGCAGTAAAAACAACAAAATTTAAAAAGAGAAATAAATGTCTTATTTATAAAATGATCAAGTGTTTTAATTTTGCTTTTCTGACAACCCTTGGTTCCCACCACGCCCACAGCTACCCTCTCAGGGCTTCTTCACACTGAGGTCACCAGGTCTGATTCCCCAGGAACCCCCTCTTGGGGACATCCCATTGAACCCGAGACAAACTGCCGCCTAAAAACAGCCCAGGAGGAGCTCTGCAGTTCTCCTGAGCATGCTCCCTGCTGCCGGCTTCTGCCCGCGGGTTCCCCCTGGGCAGCGTAAGACAGGACCACTCCGCCAGGGTTCCCTGTAATCTGTTATAAACCCCAAGGGCTCTGGCTGTCTCCCCTTTTCTGTAAAGCTGTCACAGTTTACTCGAATCCTGGGGTTTCTCCCCAGTGACTCGCCAGGTAATGGGAGCAAATGCCCTGGTTGAAACAGCCCCCTCTCCATGCTCTCTTTTTCTTTCCCCCTGGAGGTTTTTACAGCTCAGCACAACAGCCGAAAAGATGGGAAAACAAACAGCAGCACATCTGGGGAAGCTTAAGAAATCAAATTCTGCTGCTAGACACATTCTACAACCTGTGTTTCACAAATGCAAAGATGATAATAGAACTTAGTTACCTCAGAATTATTTCTCAACCACTTTTGTGGGCACAAATAGGAAAACAACCCCCAAAAGGCCTTGATCATTGCTGTGAATTAGTTTCGACATAGAAAAAGAAATTATTCAATTTTGAGGTGAAATTTTAACTAGTACCACCAACTTTTGGTCTAATCAATGTAAATTCCCAATTATCAAACTATACATCAGAAAAGATATGTATTATAAAAGGGAGGCAGCATGACAGAATCAAGTAACAAGCTGAGGGAAGAAAGAACTGATCTCAGGAACAAAAACAATCCCTTTGTGTTTTAAATCGAGGAGAGTAATTACTACACCTCGGTGGGTGGAGGTAGCAGAAGCACCCACACTGTGCTTCTCCCCTGAATGGAGGAGCTGCTTCCCTTTCGCTAAAAGATGAG